GCCAGGCGATATACGGGATACACAGCGAGAATAACCACATGACAATGGAGAGCATCGGAGATGTCAGTAGACGTTTATTCTTCTTTTGCACAGGTTCCAATTCTGTACATTAGATTGGACATGCCAAGCATTCACGTCATGGAATCCTGCATCCCATCAAGACTACCTGATAACTGCTTTTCTAAACATTGCGGCTACGTTCAACGCCTTCGGGCAACTGGGGTTTCCATCAAGGGAGCTGTACTTGAGCTAGGACAAAGTACACTTGTGTACATTCGTTCCGCTTAGATATAAGGAACTAATCCTTGGTGGCCATGTGAGTTGCTTAAGGAAGTTGAAAGTTTAAGGGTACAATTTGCGAGGTACGGGTTAAAATGCTGTCAGGTGAACAATGGACTTCTTCTATTTCCCTTGAGCTAACATGAGCTAGAAGTGCAAACTTGACTCAATGAAGTGTTTCACAACTTCGCAAATTGGGTCGGGGTTATGGTAAGCCGTTATCACATGGTTCTGTTGGTGGTGTAAGCTTTCCTCCCGGGTGAGATTAAAGCACAGATCTACTTGCATTGTATACATAACTCAGGTGGCCTCGCTTAGCGTGGCTACGTAGGAGTGCCAAGCTGTGCATCTCAAGGTCATGCAGTTCCGAATACCAGCACCTGAGAAAGCCTTCATTACTATTGTGAGCATTGCTGACGCTCATGTTACTAGCCCGTTGAACAACTTAACAAATTCCGTTCATATATCCGATGATAATCATTAGGTAAAGGAAGACCAGCCTATTGAGCAACGCTTTAGAAAAGATAACCAACCACTTAGGACGTGGGTGTTTGGTGCCTTCCCTTATATTTTCTGCGCAACGTATCTAGGGCTGCACACTCATCATGGCACAATGGCATGCCTCCTATTTCTAAGTCAGACAGGAATTCTTTATTGGTGAACACACTGTCCAAGTGCACCGGTTAGTTTCCCTTCGGTAAATGATTTATAAAATTGATAACAATGAATAGTGGTGAACTTGCGTTTTTCCTCTCAGCTCTGTCTTGAATTATTTACATATAACAGCCGCGGATTGCAGGGAATGACGTTAAAGCCCCCTGTCCAGAACATAACCGTACCCGTACGTTCTTCATGTCTTGTTATAACCTGATCCTTTTCCAACATGTATATTGGTGGATAGTCAGCAACGACAACAAAATAAATATCACATCACCTTGTGGGTGAGCAGCACCGTAACTAAAACTTGATTAGCACCTGAGGACTTAGCGCGGTCGATATGCGGATCAGAATGGAGGTAAAGGTTGGTTGTTGGCTAGGTTGTTGCGGAGGAGTGAGACTTTAATATTGAAAGGTAAGCGTCAGTAATGGCTTCATGCCAGCAAACCTTGGTCATTTCCTCGATGTCCTAATGTAGAGGGGCCGCTTCCAAGAATGCCTCGGGAGAGCTCTTCGGAGCTAGCTGAGAGCGGATCGAGAAGGACCGCTAGCGACGAGCTTGGGCCCGGAACTACGGAGCGGGAATATGTGGACAGCGCAATAAATCAGACATATACGCCGCTAGCGCAGCTCACAGGACCGAGGCCGAGCCGATTGACACAGCCCAGAACAAGCAAGTGGAGAGCTCTCGAACGACTCCTGGCCGATCCAAATCGGGTACGGAGAAGTGGGGATCGAGGCGAAAACAGGAAGGCGGATCCTCCAAGTCCGAGCTCCCGAGGCGAAAGGACTGGCTCGTCTCTAACATCCGTACCTGTGTTGCGTTGTGGGGCGGAAATCTAGTCGATATGCGATGGCGCGCGCGAGACCCTCATGTGCCCATTTTCGGTGTGCAATAAACGTCTACCCCCATGGACACCATGT